GGGCCAGGTTCCCCCCCCCCCCACAGAAGATCTTCCCTCTGCACTAACGTTCACTGCTGGCATCTGGTTTTCCACAGCAGACCCATTACTGACGTGGTGACGACGGAGCCCCTTCCTCCTCCTCCTCGTGGACAGTCTCTGCATCTCCACTGAAGACCCCTCCCACACCCCTCCTGGTCCTGCCTGCCTCCCCCTTTTGCTGAGGTGCCGGGTCAGTGCCATGGTCACCCCTCTCCCCCAGCACAAATAAACTCCCTGTGCCCCCCCCCCACCACCACCACACGTGCTTGTTTTTTCCACTCCACGTGCCAAGGAGCCCTGCCTGATGATGAGCTGGAGATAAAGCAAAGCAAAGGTTGCTAGGAAGGGACTTTGGCTGGGCCAGCTGGCTGCTGCTTCAGAGGAGGAGACCCTTCTTCTTGCCTGGGCTCCGATGGCCTTTTAGCACAGCTCGCCTGACCCCTGGGCAGGGCAGGAGTCTCCTCTGAGACACCCCCCCCCGCAGCAGGAAGGGGGCCAGCAAGAGCAGCAGCAACGGGGAGGGGAGGGGGGGGTCTGCAGGCAAAGGCTCTCCCACACCCTGTTTCTGGGGAACAGCCTCACTAGGTAGAGGTGCTGAGGCAGCAAACCCCACCCACCCCCCCCCCAAACTCTGCCCCACAGGGGAAACTGGGTGGGTGGGGGAGGGTGGAGCGCAAGGGGAAGGGGGTGGCGTTCTGCGCAAAGCCCCACCCCCCCAGCTTTTCTTGCCCTCCCCCTTAGCAGAAACCCTCCTGTAGCAGGGCTCTGTGGATTACACAAGCAATGGTTTCTGTCTCTTTCACCTTAGGCAAGAGAGAACCACGGGAAATATTTACATCCTATTTTATTGGTCAGAGCTCACTTAGATCGGTAGTAATTTTTTTTTTTTAAGTATGAAACCAAAACCCATTTCAAACAATCCAACTAAATTTGAATTTATTTGAGCAATCCACTCACCACAGTAGATGCACACCAACAGCAGGAGACATATGGGGGGGGGGGCAGCGGAATCAGCTGCAAGCCCACCTGAAGAAGCCGTGTTTTGTCTGTCCAAAAGCTGAGCAGGGAAAGGGCGTGTCCATCCCCCCCCAGCTTAGGGTGGGCCAGGTTCTGAGGCTGGGGGGGGGGAGGCATGTGTGCACGCGTGCAAGCTAGACCCATGGGAAGGGCCTTCATCTGAGGAACTGCTTGTGAGCCACACAATATGGAGCGACAACTCAGAAGAGAGTGCCCTTGAGCCCGGGAAGAACACCTTCACGACAGTGTGATTGGACGGGAGCCACTTTCAGCCCTGTGTGGGCAGGGCCTTTGAGATGAGCTGCCCCCAACCCGAACCCTCCCCTGGGAGAAGGAGCCTCCCCCCCGCCCCGTATGGCCAGAGGCAAATGGGCCAAGCCTCAAAGAAGCCTCCTAGGTGGCCTAGATGAAGGAGGAGGAGGAGGTTGGATTCATACCCCGCCCTTCACTACCCAAAGGAGTCTCAGAGTGGCCTACAAATTCCTTTCCTTTCCCTCCCCCTCCCCATAACAGACAGGCACCCTGTGAGGCGGGTGGGGCTGAGAGAGCTCTGATACAAACTGCTCTTTTTTCAATGACAGCTCTTATCAGAACTACAGCTTGCCCAAGGTCATCCAGCCAGGTGCAGGTGGAGGAGGAGTGGGGAATCAAACCCGGTTCTCCCAGATTACCGGGCGCTTAACCACGACACACCAAACTGATCCTTGGGAGGGAGACATGAAAGGGGAAGAGTGCCCTTGAGCACGTGGGGAACACCTTTTCCTTGCCCTGGAGGAGCCCCAATCAGCCCCCCCTCACATCTGTGATTGGGGAAGGGTCTCTGAGCCATAGAAGCTGACACTTTCCCGTTTGGAAGCTGGCTGACTTCCCTGAAAAGAGGGCTTGGCTCCCAGAGGCCACCCACCTTCCCCAGCCAGGGTGGTATCGCATGGGGTCTCCTCCGTTCTCCCCCAGGGCAATAGTGCCAGGGCATGAACTCAGCCTATGCTCCAGAGCGTCCAACTGACCCTCTCCTGCAAAGAACAGTTCCTGGGGCCGCTTCTGCAAGTGACCAGCGATGCACACAGATGCAAGAGCACCAGGGTTGCCCCAAGCAAGAGGGCTGGTGATGGAGCTGGGGGGCGTAGCCCTGCAAAATGGACTGCACACTGAGGCTAAGTTCTTGGAGAAGTGAAATGATTATCAAGACAAGGGGGCATCTGAGCATGTGCAGAGTGTTTTTCCCCTCCCCAATGAGTAATTTCAGCTACTGTCCAAGCCCTTCCAAATAAGGGTAGGTGACCAGGAGCCTCACAACAAAGTCCTTGCTGGTCCGAGCGCTCTCCACAGCCGTTGGTCTCGCCCACCCTGACCACCTCCTCCTCGGTTGCTGGGCGTGGGGGATACTGGCCGCTTCCTGGCGCGTCGATTCCAGGAGGTGGTGGTGCTGGGGCTCCATGGCCCCCGGCCTCCTCGTCTCTCTCGTAAGGCTCTGGTATTTAACCCCTCTGGCCGAGACACCCCCAGCCGGGGTCTGAGGGAAGCGGGGCGAGAAGCTCTTGAAGGGGCCGGCTGGATGTGTGGGGGGGTGCCGATCAGGTGACACGGGTGTCCTTTTAAATAAGC